CACGGGTTCAGGCAATCCACTCACCTCAGCCTCCCAAAGGCGCGGGATTACAGGCTGAGCCACCGAGCCCGGCTAAATTTATTTTTTGAAGAAAAGTTCTGGCTGGGCTTGGTGGCTCATGCCTATAATCCCAGCACTTTGGGAGGCCAAGGTGAGAGGATTGCCTGAGCCCACAGGTTCGAGATCAGCCTAGGCAACTTGGCGAGAGACCTTGTCTCTACAATAAATCAAAAAAATTAGCCGGGCATGGTGGCACATGCCTGTAGTTTCAGCTGCTTGGAAGGCTGAGGCGGAAGGATCGCCTGAACCCAGCAGGTCGAGGCTGTGGGGACCGTGAGTGTGCCACTGCACTCCAGGCTGGGTGACAGAGTGAGACTCCAACTCAAAAAAGAAAACCTCAGCCGAGCTCGGTGGCTCAGCCTGTAATCCCAGCACTTTGGGAGCCTGAGGTGAGTGGATTGCCTGAGCCCACGGGTTCGAGACCCGCCTGGGCAACTTGGTGAGACCTCATCTCTACAATAAAATAAAAAATTAGCTGGGCATGGTAGCGCACGCCTGTAGTTCCAGCTACTTGGAAGGCTGAAGCGGAGGGATCGCCGGCTCCCAGCAGGTCGAGGCTGCAGTGGCCGGGAGCGGCCACTGCACTCCAGTCTGGGTGACAGAGTGAGACTCCAACTCAAAAAAAAAAAAAAACCTCCAGGAAAAAAAGTAAGGAAATAGGAAAATGCTGATAACCACCAATGCCCGAGGTCACGTGTGAAGGTTCACTGTGCAGTTTATTTTACTTTGGGTCTACTTGAAAATTGCTATAATAAAATTACTTATAAATAGTAATAGGGAGAAAATCTTAAAGTCTTCTCACCACGAAAACAGGGTAAGTATGTGAGGTAATACATATATCAAACAGCTTGGTTTAGCCATCCCACAAGGTGCAAATATATGAAAACATTATGTTGTACACCACAAATACTTTTACTTGTCAGTTTTTAAAAATTAAGCCAAGCATGGTGGTGCACACCTGTAGTCCCAGTAACTCGAGAAACTAAGTCTGGGAGTCTGAGGCTGCAGTGTACTTACTATGATCGCACCTGTGAACAGCCCTGTACTCCAGCCTAGGCAACAGCAAGGCCCTGTCTCTAAAAAAAAAAAAAAAAAAAAAAATTAAAAAGCTGAGCTCGAGGATCACTTGAGCCCAGAAGTTCAAGGCCAACCTGGGATATAGTGAGACCCCATCTCTAAAAATTTTTTCTTCGAAATACAGAAGGAATGGATGACACTCTTCCTCTTCAGTGTGTGGGTACTTGGGAGCTGCTTCAGGCTCTACCCCAAGGGGCCTCCTCCACACCAGCACTGGATTTAGACATGAGATCCCAGATTTCAAGCTGACACCGCATAGGAATGAGAATTTGGGGTTGGAGTCTCTGGAAGAAGTATATTCTGCAACGGGAAGGACAGAAACAGCTGGTGGCCAGAGGACAGACAGACTGGTGGTTTTCAAGTATGTACACAAATTCACTGACACTCCCTCCTTCAAGTGATAGAGACCAAGCCTCCCTGGCTGCCAGAGCTCAGCAACAGCACACTTCTACCACACAGCAAGTGCAGAAGGTGACAGTGTGTAGCTGCTGGGCCCAGGCTGTGAGACTACAGACACATCTCATGTTCTCAGTCGTCAGCTCCCACATGTACAGGGTGAGGCGGGAGGCCGCCTGTCCATAGCCAGCACAGGCCACGGCATGAGGAAGCTGCCTTGGACGCCGCCCTGCCAGTCAAACTTAGCTGACCACAGCCTGGGCCAACAGAAAACTCGAGACCCTGAGCCATAGCCACCCAGCTAAGTCACTTGTGACTTCCTGATCCACAGAAGCTGAGATAAATGTTTGCTGTTGTTGTTTTGTTTTGTATGAGTCAGGGTCACATTCTGTTGCCCAGGCTGGAGTGCAATGGCAGGATCACAGGTTACCACAGCCTCGACCTCCTGGGCTCAGGTGATCCTTCTGCCTCAGTCTTCCGAGTAGCTCAGACTACAGGTGTGTGCCACCATGCCCAGCTAATTTTTTTTTTTTTTTTTTGAGTTGGAGTCTCACTCTGTCGTCCAGACTGGAGTGCAGTGGCCGCTCCCGGCCACCACAGCCTCGACCTGCTGGGCTCCAGCGATCCTTCCGCCTCAGCCTTCCAAGTAGCCGGAATTACAGGCATGCGCTATCACATCCGGCTGATTTTTTGATTTATTGTAGAGATGAGGTCTTGCCAAATTGCCCAGGCGGGTCTCGAACCCGTGGGCTCAGGCAATCCACTCACCTCAGCCTCCCAAAGGCGCGGGATTACAGGCTGAGCCACTGAGCCCAGCTCCGGCTAATTTTTTATTATTGTGTGACGATGAGGTCTTGCTAGGTTGCTTAGGCTGCTCTCAAACTCCTGGCCTCAAGCAATCCTTCCACCTCAGCCACCCAAAGTGCTGGAATTACAGGCATGAGCCACTGTGCCTGGCCTGAAATAAACGTTTTTATAAAAGGGAGAGGATCAGTGATCTTCTTTTTTGAGTTGGAGTCTTGCTCTGTCCCCCAGGCTGGAGTGCAGTGGCATGGTCATGGCCACCACAGCCTCAACCTACTGGGCTCAGGTGATCCTTCCACCTCAGCCTTCCAAGTAGCCAGAACTACAGGCATGCACTACCATGCCCGGTTAACTTTTGATTTATTGTAGAGATGAGATCTCACCATGTTGCCCAGGCTGGTCTCGAACCCACAGGTTCAGGCAATCCTCTCGCCTTGGCCTCCCAAAGTTCTGGGATTATAGGCTTGAGCCATTGCGCTCAGCTGGTATAGAATCATTTTTAAAAATATCATTGGGAAGTGAGTTCCACCTCAGTATGTTTTCCACACACTCGGGGCCAGAGAGAACAAGGACTCCTGGCCCAGATGTGTGCTTGAATGCACATGGGCCGGCACTACACATGGAGGTGGTAAGCAGACTCAGTCAAGGACTGTTCTCCCAAATTCATAGTCAACCAACATGCCGTGTCTACTTTTGCTCTTTTGTGTGTGTGTGTGTGTGTGTGAGTTGGAGTTTCACTCTGTTACCCAGGCTGGAGGGCCGTGGTACGATCACAGCTCCTCACAGCCTTGACCTCCTCAGCTCAAGCAATCCTTTCACCTCAGCCTCCCGAGCAGTTTGGACTACAGACACATGCTAACATATTTAGCTAGTCTTTTAATTTTGTGTAGAGACAAGGTCTCACTATGTTGCCCAGACTGGTCTCAAACTCTTGGGCGCAGGCAGTCCTCTTGCCTTGGCCTTCCAAAGTGCTGGGATTGCAGGCGTGAGCCACAGCACGTGGCTGCCTGCTCTTACTCTAGGTTGGTGGAAGCCGAAGCTGAGGCACTCATTACCAAGCAAAGGAGGTGTGCAGGCACGCCCACAAGTTGTCATCACTTGTCAGCGAGGTCAGTGAGCGGGCAGCATTGCCATTCCTCTGATGCAGGAAGGGCGTAAAGGCCGTGTTCATCCTCTGGGCACGCTGTGGGCATCCAAACTGCTCTGCCTCAAACACCTGAATGCAAAGGGAAGGGACGGTCTCTTAAACGGAGCCAAAGCTGCCAGCAGCGCTGTGGCTATAGGGCTGAGAGGAGCAAGGCTGGCTGGGCTCCTGCCCTCAGTCGCAGCAGACTCCCGAGGTGCCAGCCCACCGCCCCCCAGCCCAGGCTCCTCATCTCTGATGTTACCTTGAGTGCCTTGCCCTGGAGCTCATCGATGATGCCGCGGACCTTCCCTAGCAGGAAGGGCCAGGAGTTGATGAGGTAGATCCGGTCCATCATGATGGTGATGATGCTGTACCAGCGCTGGAAGCCCCTGGCCAGGCTGTCTTTGATGAAGAAGGTGTGGCTGAACACAAAGCCATGTTGCTCGTCTCCAAAGAAGATGGGGCCTTCACGTCCAGGGCAGACCTGGAAAGAGCGGCAGTGACTCAGAGACAGCCCTCTCTTCCCTTCAGAGAAGGGAAAGCTTCAAAGCTTCCTCCTCAGACTTCTCTTTGGACACAAATGAGCCAGCACTGATTAGAGGAGTGTGGCCAGAGGAAAGTGAGGGCAGAGCACTCTGCATGCATCTGCTCCTGGGATCAAGTATCCTAGAAAAAGCCTTTGTCATTGTGGAACGCAAGGGCCAATAATAAGGATCATGGCTTTTTTCTACCTTGAGACATAAATAACTTCCTGTTATTCCTAAGTATTCCTAACATTCCTAGTTATTATTACATCTCCTCCAGACTCAAATATGCTCACTTACTCATCCGGAATATGCTTAAGAGCCAGCAGGTCCAAACAGCCACTATACACTCCATTGAATAAGTCTGCACACTTGATTTTTATGAGCGGGCTCAGTCCCCACTCACGACATATTTTATCTTAAACAGTTCTAACAGACATGCCCAGTTGCCTGCTAGCTGACCTGCAGTAGAAAATTAAAAGGAAGGAGACAGCTGAAGGCAGGCATATGGCAACACTGAAGGCCAACTCACAGCACCAGAGCTCTGTGTGCCCACCGGGCAGGTACCAGGGGCAGGAAATGCCAGGAACTGAGGGGTGAACTCTCCATGACAGACAAAACCCTGAGAGCCACGACTCAAGCGCAACATGGCAGTCATACACAGGGGAAGAGCAGATCAGTCACTCCATCAGGCTGACAGCAACACATAATGATGATGGTCACTAAGGCTGGGAAAGAGGACTGAGACAGTAAGAAAGGTGACATCTGACACAGCGAACTACATATCCTAAAAATAGTACCTACCAGAGAAATCTGTCCATCAAGAAGGGATGAATCACAAAAGTTTGGTGCATAAAGTGAAAAGCTAGCACCCATGTGGAAAACCGAGCCCAATATACGCACCCTTCCAGCTCTGGACAACTGCGTGTCCCATACCCCGCACTGCACTGAACTGCGGGCCCCTCCTGAGAAGCCCAGCTCCTGCCTTCCTCTGCACACCAGCACTGAACTCACTGAGGGCACCAGGGCCGTGCACTCCCAGAGACAGGTCTGTGGCCGTAGACACTCACCTCACAACTCAGGCTCCGGACACAAGCCTGGCGGACAACGCTGAAGAGCTGGGGATGGTTGGGGTGCTGGTGACTGACATATTTAATCGAGGTCTCCTTATCATGGCTGATATAGCCCGGATGCCCCGCAGCAAGTGACCGGCAGCCCTGTCCACCAGAAGGCAAAGAAAATCTGTTTGCTCGACAGCAGGCAACAGACTGTCTTACACTTATGCAAATCTGGACTTACAAAACTCAATTCGATGACTTTTTTTTTTTAGTTGAAATCTCACTCCATTGCCCAGGCTAGAGTGCAGTGGTACGCTCACGGCCACCCCAGCGTCCATCCTTCCGCCTCAGCCTTCCAAGGAGCCGCAACTACAGGCAGACGTTACTACGCCTAGCTAGTTTTTTAGTTATGGTAGAGATGAGGTGTTGTCAAGGTGCCCAGGCTATTCTTGAACCCATGGACTCAAGTAATCTTCTCACCTCTGCCTCCCAAAGTGCTGGGATTACAGGCTTGAGCCGCCACACCCAACCCAATTCATTTTTTTAACAAAAATAACTGGCCTTTTGATATTTACTTATTTTAGGATTTAAATGTTTTCTAAAGAGGAAAAACGAGACACAGAGACCCTGGAGGAGGTTGTCAGATTAGTCCTAACAGATGATATTTGCCGACATAGCACGTGTTATGGAAAGAGCCTGGCATACATCATCTCATTCAGCCCAAGGTGCCACTCTATGAGATCATCAGAGATAATCCCTTTACAGAAGACAAAACTAAGGCTGAGATGGGACAGAGCTGGCGAGGAGCACTGTGCTCTGTGCCACTTTTCTGGATGATGCTATCTATCCCCCAGTCGGTCTTTGGTCCTAGCAGGGGCCTCAGCTACAGGCCAAGGGTCCAGCAATGAATGGAAGAACGCCAGACTCAAGTGTTGGTGTGGAAGCTCAGACCTCTTGCTGCCCTGCTAGAGTAGCCACCACCCTGGACTGTGGCAGGAGGGCACTAGGCCAGTTCCTTCTCGAGATGCAGAACTCCTCCTAGGGCAATCCCAACCCTAGGGCTCAGGGACTCCTTGGTGGCCTGGCTGAGCCCTCCTTCCCTCCCAACTCCTTCTCAGGTCCGAGGAACTCCCCACCTTCTGCCCCCCAGTTCCTCACAGGTGTTTCCAGCAATAGACAACATCTCCCCCATCACCCTCTGCCTTCCTCAGCAGAACCAAATGGATGAGACTGGATTCCTATTTGCACTGTAATAGCAGGTCTGACAACAGCTCTGATTTCAGAACCCAGCCCAGGCCCTCCATGCAAAGTAACCCAGTTGGGGAAACTATGAAAGGTTCCCCAGAGCTCACAGAGCAACCCAAGGAGGAACACTGGGGATCCTGTGAGGAGGAAATGCTCCTGGGAGCATGGGGCTCGGGGACCTGTGCCCAGGATGGGCAGGAGTGCAAGAACACGAAGGTGAATGCCATGGCAGGGAGGCATGAAGCAGGTTACAAAAGCTAAGGTCAAAATGGAGGGAGAGAACTAAAGGGGCACAGAGAAGCAAATGCCTTCCAAGGGCCACTGAAAAGCAGTGTCACCCCCACCCAGGCCTCACCTATTGCTCTTGAGACCTCGAGGGACTCCTGTCCATCTCACACCTCCTACAGAGAGTGAAACGTTCCCAAGACCCCCAAAACACTTGCCTCACACATGTCCGACTTTTTAGGCCCAGGGCTGCTGGACTCTGCACTGGCCCCTTCAGCAGGACTGTGCGCGCGGATCCGACTGCTCATCTGAATGCCGCCTTCTTCCTCCTCGGCCTGCTCACCCTGGCCTGGGCTGTCCCCACTCCCAGCCCCTTGGGGAAGTGGGGCATGCAGCACCTCTGTGCAGAAGAGAGTGCGAGGGCCATGCAGCTCGCAGAAGTGGCAGAGAGCCACAATGGCATTCATGGCTTCTTGGAGACCACAGGAGGCCTGTGGAGGGTGGGGGGACAGGTCAGTTGAAACCTCCCTATCCCCTCATCTACAGGCTTCCTTATCAGCAAAGTCAGCCACAGCCCACCCACCCCAAGCCGGTACCTCCAGTCACCTGCTTTGCCCAGTGACGTGTCGGGTGCAGGAGACCCAAGAGGAAGACGGATAGGCAGCCTACCTCCTGGGGAAGGGAACAAGAGACATGGCTCTTCCCACAAAGCGAGAAGTGTGATGAAGACCAGCGGGGCCAGTGCTGGTAATGATGGGAGGTGGGAAGAGCTGGGAGGGACTGGCTTACAAAGACCCCTCCCCCCAGCAAGAGCTAAAGGGAGGGTGTGCACCAACCAAGGGGGTGTGACAGGGCCCAGGTGTCTGGAAAGGAGCAGAAGACAGGACAGAGGCTATGTGAAGCAGATCTTAGGGCCCCTTCTAGGCCATGGAGGGCCCTCAGTGTTTTTATAGAAATTAGAGAGGCTTTGGTGGGTTCTAATGAGAGACATGAAAAGGTTTAAATTTTAATTTTTTAGAGATGGGGTCTCGCTCTATTGCTAAGGCTGGAGTGCAGTGGCACAATCATGGCTCACTGCAGCCTCAAATTCCTGGGCACAGTGATCCTCCCACCACAGCTTCTCAAGTAGCTAGGACTACAGGTGCTTCACTATGCGTGGCTAATTTTTTTAATATTCTATAGATGGTGTCTTGCTATGTTGCTCAGGCTGGTCTCAAATTCCTAGACTCAGTGATCCTCCTGCTTCAGCCTCCTAAATAGCTGGGACTGCAGGCGCACATCCCTAGACAGGCTAAGAATGTAAGAATGTATGTGTGTGTGTGTTTTGGTAGAGATGAGGTCTCACTATGTTGCCTGGGCTGGCCTCAAACTCCTGGGCTTAAACAATCCTTCTGTCTCAGCCTCCAAAGTGCTGAAATTACAGGTATGAGCCACTGTGCCCAGCCTTGAATTTTCTCTTAATAGGCTCATTCAGGACCATGTGCAGAACACAGAAGTCCTGGAGCCCAGGGTGGAGGCGGGGAACCAACTGAGGCATCCTACTGCTCCAAGTGAAGAAGGGCGGTGGCCCAGGACAAGGTAGCAGTGAAGCAGCAGACTGCATATGGGTGTGTGGGGCATGAAGGAAGGGCAGGGAAGACTGGAAGAGGACCAGCAGTGCCTGCTGAGCCTTCACATGGAGACAACACAGAAGGGGACCCGAGCTATGCAGTCAGGGCTCGCCAAGGTCAGACATTCTCTGTCCTCATCCCGGGCAGGCAGGGTGTGGGCATGACCAGGACCCGGCCAGTTAGATAGCTTGCCAAAGATGCTAACTCTACGAGGGTAGCAAAGCAGCAGAGTCTGAACATGCACAGTGGTGGCTGGTGTGGAGAGTCCCAGGGGAGATGGTTCAAGACAGTCAGTGGCAGCACCCTCAGCCAGCCATGCCTGTGGTATGTCTCTAGCCGGGCCCTCCCATACAGCCTTCGTGCCACATCTGTCCTCCCGCCTGAGCCAGGGCTTGAGCTCGAGCTATCACGCTGGGAATGGCAGAGGCAGACAGAAAACAGACATCTGAAGAGAAAGTCGGCTGGTGAGTCAGGTGTGGGGATCAGAGAGACAGACACTGGGGGTGGCTGGCAGGGAATGGAGGGCTACCTGCCCACGGGTGTGTTCCAGGGAAGTGGGCAGCAGACAGGAGATGAACAGAATTTAAGAGACAACTGGACATTTAGCTGGAAAGCCTTGAGGGCTCTGGTGAAGACTCTGACTGCAGTATCAGAGAGGGCAGGGCTGGGGACGAAGGTCAGGGACACTCCGCAGACCTTCTCCTGGCTTGCTCCTCCTCGCCATTAGCCTCTACCTGTCCGTCTCCCTCAGAAGCCTCCCTAACCAGTCCACCCAGAACAGTCACTCCCTCCACTGCTTTATGTGCGTCCGAGTACTTCTCATACCAGAACCTACTTCCTACTTTCCTGTTACGAATGAGAGTTCCCACAAGGTGGAGACTTTGTCTTGTTTTTTCCTTTTTTGTTTTTTGAGTTGGAGTCTCACTCTGTCGCCCAGATTGGAGTGCAGGGGCCGCTCCTGGCCACTGCAGCCTTGACCTGCTGGGCTCCGGCGATCCTTCCGCTTCAGCCTTCCGAGTAGCCAGAATTACAGGCACGCGCTACCACGCCAGGCTAATTTTTTTATTTATTGTAGAGATGAGGTCTCGCCTGCCCAGGCGGGTCTTGAACCCGTGGGCTCAGGCAATCCACTCACCTCAACCTCCCAAAGGCACGGGATTACAGGCTGAGCCACCGAGCCTGGCTGAGACTTTGTCTTAACGGCTGTCTTCCTAGTGCCTACAACAGTTCTCAATACACAGGAGGCATCAAATGAGTATGTGTTGGATAATGAGCGGATGTAGGAGATGCCCACGGAGAGATGACAGTTGTTGCCACAGAAAGTGCAAGTGTCTATGAACAGAAGGTCAAGAGCACAGTCATGGGGAAAGCCACAGTCTGAGTCTGGTGGCACAAGAACTAAATGGACCAAATTTAAATAAAGGGTCCACAAGGCTCACTACAAAGAGGTTTGAGAAAAAAAAAAAGAAGTGATGGTTAAATAGTCCACTGTGCAAGAGATATGAAGTGACTATGGACAGAATAAGAGGTAGTAGGACCCAAAATAAAGGTAAAAGTGTTAAACCGGAAAGGAAGATGACGTCTGTCTCCCTTTGAGAGGCACAAAGGGAAGAGAAATAAGGTTCCCTGTAGCAAGCATCCACGTAAGAGCCAAGCTTCACCCCATATGCAGAGCACAGATACTAACCTTATACTTAGCAGAATCACACTTCCACCATCCCGCCTAGGTCAGAGCATGCAAGGCTGCTGTCAAGTGGGTCAGGCTTTGTGATGACAGTCATACATGAATACCTGACATTTTCTAGGTAAGGGGGGAAAAAATCAGAGCTAAATTCTAATGGCAGTAGTCTTCATAGCATGAGAAAACTGTGAATAGCTTATAGGCAACAACAAATCAGGACATTTCAGAAGAGGATTTGGAAATTCCCCAGGGTTCTGAGTGGCTTAGAAGACCTCTTGCCTTCTGAGCAGTGGCAGAAGGCAAGTCGACACTGCAGTCGGTTTACACCTCTAAAGCAGTATCTGATAAAGAATCTCTTTATTTTTTTAGAGATGAGGTCTCACTATGTTTTGCCCAGGCTGAAGGGATGCTTCTGCCTCAGTCTCTCAAGTAGTAGAGCTCTTTAAATGCAAATAATTATATTAACTAAATATCTTTTGAAAGCATAAAATATGAAATGCCCATCTTTCCTACTCTTGGTTATAAGGGGGCTGCTTTGGCAGCACCCATGCCAGGCCTAACCCTTCTGACCTTAGACCTGGAAGTTTCTCTCCTTTCCTAAAATGGGAGCGAGCAGCAAGAGGCAATGTTGCTAAGCTCCTTCCAGGATCAACCTGGGTGAAAAGCACTTCTCTGACAAGAGTTCTGAATACTCAGATCATGCATGCCAGAGGCCCAGGAAGCCCCTGGAAGGCAGAGAGGTGCCCTATAGAACACTTAGCTCTGGAATCACAAGGACCGACCTACGCCAGCCTGGTGACATCAAATGTTACTGAACTTCTCTGAATCTCAGTCTAAAGTTGAGAAACAACGGCCTCCCGTGGTTCACACTACACATGGAAAGGAGTTCTGGGCAGCATGGGGTCAATTCTGTATTCACTCCCCAATTACAACCTCTACCAGATATCTGCAAAAGAAAAAAAACTGGTGTGAGTATGCCTAACAATTCTTCCTTTCCAAGAAACTTTTCAGAACCCAAGCATTACACCCACCATTATAAGTATTATTCAAACTCCTAGATGAAGCAGTGTATCTGTCCATGTCCCCTCCTACATTGGCTCATCTCTAGACCGGGAGGATGACCTTAGCATCACCTGTGGTGCACCCTGGCCCTGGGTCAATTTCACTCCTGCTTCCTATATGGTCTTATAGCACCATGGAGGACTGATGAGGTCACTAAGTAAAAGCACTCTGTAAATAAACAGGGTATCATCTGGATCTTAATATGCAGCTTCCACAGCTAGTCTCCCATTGAGGAGCCTCGTTAGGTGGCCAGCTGGGATCCCAGCAAATGTAAAGTGGAAAGTTCTGCAGGGGATTATTTCCAGCTCAGACCCACTCACATTGAGGCTCTATCTGGATTTCCATTTACAGAGTTCACTGATACAAGATACTAGAAGGGCAAATAAGCTTCACACATTACTATCACTCAATTGCTTGATGACCACGGTGATAATCGAGTGTCTCCAGCACCTATTTGCGGCAAGCTCCTCCTTGTCCTGTCCTCTGTCGCCGGCAAGCTCCTCCTTGTCCTGTCCTCTGCCTCCTGTGGCGACGGGTGACCACCTTGGACCTCAACGCACAAGCCAATCCCTGGGCTAAACATTCTTTTTTTTTTTGAGTTGGAGTCTCACTCTGTCGCCCAGACTGGAGTGCAGTGGCCACTCCCGGCCACCGCAGCCTCGACCTTGCTGGGCTCCGGCGATCCTTTCGCCTCAGCCTTCCAAGGAGCTGGAACTACAGGCGCGCGCTACCACGCCCAGCTAAATTTTTTTTGATTTTTTGTAAAGATGAGGTCTCGCCAAGTTGCCCAGGCGGGTCTCGAGCCCCGGGCTCAGGCAATCCACTCACCTCAGCCTCCTCAAGCGAGGGATTACACGCTGGGCCACCGAGCCCTGGGCTAAACATTATTACTACGTGATAAAGATGCGACTGACAACACCCCTCAAAACTTTCATCTACCCTGAAGAACGCATAACTACCGTACTAGCTTCTAAGGGGACCCGCCAGGATGCCTGCCTAGGAGAAAAGGAATGATGACACACCCTCTCCTTCAAAGAGAGCAGAGACAAAGCCTGGGAGGGGGTGGGCAAAAAGCGAAGCCCCATGGCAACGCTAAATGAGAATAAGTTGATGACCCCTGATGCGTCTGAACCCAAAGCTCCAGAGCTCAGAGCCTCGGCAACGCCTTCGGTTCCCCTCCATCACGCGCCCACCTCGGACCAATGCAAACTCGGCTACGTCCCCTCCGCTAGCCTCAGACCCGGACCTCTTTCCGCCCACCTGCTCCGCGAGCCCCGGCTCGCCCGACACCTGGGCGCGGCAGGCCCAGGCCCTCGCGATTCCCAGCCCCGCCCCGGCTAGCTGCGCCAGGTGGGTCGTCGCCGCGGGGCCCGGCCGGCGAGGGATCAGCGGGGATCACACACAGGGCTCCTCACCCCACAGAAGAGACGTCAGCCGGGGCGGCGAGGCACTCAGCCCCGGGGGATGTGGGCCTCAGGGCAGCGGGCCGAAGGCCGGCGCCGCCAAGCTCACCAGCGGTCCCCACAGCCCAGCGCCGACACCCCGGCGCGTGACTCGGCCGGGCCGTACCACTCTCCCAGCCCCGCGAAGGGGCGCGGGAGCCGACCGAGCACGCCCTGCACTGCCAGGCGAACGGGGCCTCGCCAGGTCCCGCACACTCGAGAACACAAACCAAGGCTGGCAACACAAGCCTGGCGGGGAATCAGAGGCTGCCGCCCAAGCCCTCTCCCTTCCGCGGCCCCCATTCCGCTCCTCCCCACCGAGGAGTACGGGTGGTTTGAACCGCATCGCAAGGGATGCTGGAGGAAACCATTTTAAGCACGGGGGCATGCTACAACTTAAAATTCATTTATAAAAGAGATTTGAGGGAAACTATACCCAGCCTAAGACACTCTGTTCACATAAAATAGGAACATAGAGAGGAAAGATTATAAAAGGCTGAAATGTTATGGGGCTTCACCGTTGATTTTTATTAAATTGCCGATAAAACCCGTCGACTTGCCTTAGCGGGAAGGTGGAAGGTGCGGGCAGGCGGCGGGGATGTGGCCGTCACGTGACATGGGGAGGGGCGCGGAACAGGCGGGTGGTTGGTTCAGTAACTCGTGGTGGGCGGGGCAGGAGTGCGAATGTGCGTAACCGCCCCCCAAGCTCCGACTTCCACAGTGCATCCAGTTTTTTTAAAAAATAAATTATTTAATATTTTTTAAAGCTTGGGCGTCTGTTATTGCTTGGTTCCTTAAAAATTAACTTTAGGGGAGACACCTCTTATCAACAAGGGTGCCTGAACGAAGCATATTTGTATACCTAACCCTTAACTGTACCCCACAATATCAATAAAAAAATATTATGAAAAAAATTAACTTTAAAGCCATTAGTGCACGATGTAATGTGGTCCTTCTAGGAAGAGCCGGAGATGGAAATCTCTTGACAGTTCAACTTGGCCCTGCCTGGGAACCGCGCTGCCACCTGGTGTGCAGTCCTGTCCCGACATCCCGCCCCAGCTGGGCTGTGGTTCCAGCAGGGTATGAGTGTGGTTGTCAGGAAGGGGGCAGTGGGCGGGGGAGACTTAGGTATTCTGAATGGAAGAAGGTGGTTGTACTGTTTGAAATCACAGAGGTCATTTCCTCCTCTCCTTTTGAATTTCCATGTTATGTTAAGCCGGGGGACATGAGAAAAAAACAAAATCGCAACTTGTGTTTTCCACCTTTTTTTTACTGGCTTGCTGAAGATTAAGGGAGTATGGGATGGCATGATGAGGCTAGGCATTGCCTTTATGTGTCTGTTTATTCTTTTTTTTTGAGTTGGAGTCTCACTCTGTCGCCCAGACTGGAGTGCAGTGGCCGCTCCCGGCCACTGCAGCCTCACCTGCTGGGCTCCAGCGATCCTTCCGCCTCAGCCTTCCGAGTAGCCAGAATTACAGGTATGCGCTACCACACCCGGCTGATTTTTTGATTTTTATTGTAGAGATGAGGTCTCGCTGCCCAGGCGGGTCTCGAACCCGCGGGCTCAGGCAACCCACTCACCTCAGCCTCCCAAAGGCGCGGGATTACAGGCTGAGCCACCGAGCCCGGCTCAGTGATGTGTTCTTAAAACTAACATCTGTTACTGAGTCCTTAAGCCAAGGACAAGATTTTTTCACCTTGTGACTGATTCCAGGAATTACCTTTCTCAGTTTGTTAGTGGACACCAACACCTTGCTCAGATTATCCTTATTTCCATAGTGACAGGTTAATGGAGATCCCATCTGGAGGAAGGATTTTCAACCAATACATCTTCTTTGCCTTTTTTTGAGTTGGAGTCTCACTCCGTCACCCAGGCTTAGGTGCAGTGGCATACTCAAGGCCACTGCAGCCTCGACCTGCTGGGCTGAGGCGATCCTTCCACCTCAGCCTTCCAAGTAGCTGGAACTACAGGCACGTGTCACCATACCTGGCTAATTTTTTGATTTATTGTAGAGATGAGGTCTCACCAAGTTGCCCAGGTTGGTCTCGAACCCCCGGGCTAAAGGCAATCCTCTTAGCCTTGGCCTTCTAAAGTGCTGGGATTATAGGCATGAGCCACTGGGCGTGGCCCTTCTTTTCCTTTTTTAAAAATTATTTTGGATTCAGGGAATACAAGTGCATGTTTGTTATATGGACATATTGTGTACTGCTGGGAATTGGGCTTCAGGTGGCCCATTCCCCAGATAATAAATATTGTAGCCGACAGGTAACTTCTGAATCCTAACCCTCCTCAGTTCCCAACTTTTACTCTCCCTATTGCCTACTATTTCTATCTTTGTGGCTATTTAGCTCCTATCTATAAGTGAAAGCATGTGATGTTTGGTTTTCTTTTTCAGAGTCAGTTCACTTAGGATGATGTTTTCGAGCTCCATCCATTTTGTTGCAAAGGACATGATTGTTATTTTTAATGGCTGCGCAATATTCCATGGTGTATATACATTTTCTTCATCCAGTCAATCACTGATGGGCATTTAGGTTGGTTCCACGATTTTGCTATTGTGAATACTGTTGCAATAAACATACACATACAGGTATCTTTTTAATATGATGATTTCTGTTCCTTTGAGTAGATACCTAGTAGTGCAATTGCTGAGCTGAATGACAGTTCTATTTTTAGTTTTTTGAGAAATCTCTATGCTATTTTCTATAGAGGCTGAACTAGTTTACATTCCCATCAACAGTGTAGCTTTCCTTTTTTCTGCATCTGTACCAACGTCTGTTATTCTTTGATTTTTTAATAACATTCTGACTAGTATAAGATTTCTCATTGTGGTTTTAATTTGCATTTTTCTGATAATTAGTGATGCTGAGCATTTTTTGGTTGGCTTCTTGTGTGTCTTCTTTTGGGAAGTGTCTATTCATATTCTTTGCCCACTTTTTGATGTGGCTATTTGTTTTTTTTCACATTAAGTTGTCCGAGTTCCTTATAGACTCTGGATGTTAGTCCTTTGAGGCAAAGTTGCAAATATTTTCTCCCATTCCACAGGTTTTCTGCTCACTCTATTTCTTTTGCTGTGTGGAAGCTTTTTTTAAACTTAAGTCCCATTTGTCAATTTTTTTTTTTCATTTGTTTTTGGGATCTTCATTATAAATTATGTGCCTATGCTGATGTCCAAAAAGTTTTTCCTAAGTTTTCTTCTAGGATTTTTATAGTTTCAGGTGTTGTAGTTAAGTCTTTACTCTTAATTTTTGGGTATGATAAGAGATACAGGTTCAGTTTCATTCTTCCACATATGGCTAGCAAGTTTTCCCAGCACCATTTATTGAATAGGGTGTCCTTTCCCCATTGTTTACTTTTGCCAGTTTTGTTGAAGATCAGTTGGTTTTAAGTATGTAGCTTTATTTCTGGGTTTTCTATTCAGTTCCATTGATCTGTCTATTCATGTACCAGTACCATGCTGTTTTGGTTACTATAGCCTTGTGTAATTTGAAGTCAGGCAATGCAATGCCCCTGCATTTTTCTGTTTATTTAGAATCACGTTGGCTATTTGGGCTTTTTGGTTCCGTATAAACTTTATTTTGAGTCAGGATCTCAATGTAGCCATGACTGGACTGCAGTGGCATGATCATGGCCCACTGCAGCCTCAATCTCCTGGGCTTAGGAAGTCCGTCTGCCTCAATCTCCCGAGAAGCTAAGACTACAGGCATGAGCCACCATGCTGGCTAATTTTTAAAACTGTTTACAGAGATGAGGTCTTGCTATGTTGCCCAGGCTGGTCTCGAACTGCTGGCCTCAAGCAATCCTCTTACTTCAGCCTCTCAAAGTGCTGGGATTATAGGTATGAGCCACTGCACCCAACCTATTTTTATACTAGTACCATGTTGTTTTGGTTACTATAGCCTTGTAGTATAATTTGAAGTCAGGCAGTGTGATATCCCTGGCATTTGTTCTTTTTACTTAGAATTGCTTTGGCTATTTGGGCTATTTTTGGTTCCATATAAATTTTAGAACAGTTTTTTATAGTTCTGTGAAAAAACGATGTCATTTTGGTAAGGATTGCATTGAATCTATAGATTGCTTTGGGGGTAGTACTCCACCACTGCATTTTCAATAACATCAAATGTGCATTAACACAACTGGGCTCAATTTATGGTATCAACATCTTTCCCAACATCACTGGCTTCAGTCACCTACTTCTTTGGAAGGTGTTTTCTCAAATAAACCTATACATCTGTTTAAAACTATTGTCAGTCAGGCTCGGTGGCTCAGCCTGTAATCCCAGCACTCTGGGAGGCTAAGGCAAGGGGATTGCCTGAGCTTGTGGGTTCAAGACCAGCCTCGGCAACTTGGCGAGACCTCATCTCTACAATAAATCAAAAGTTAGCTGGCGTGGTAGCGCACGCCTGTAGTTCTGGTTACCTGGAAGGCTGAGGCAGAAGGATTGCCAGAGCCCAGTAGGTCGATGCTGGAGTGGCCATGAGCATGCCAGTGCACTCCAGCCTGGGCGACAGAGTGAGACTCCAAAAAAAAATTAATTAATTAAAAAAAAAAAAAAAATATTGTCAAATCCTTGTCCCAGTTAATGGTACCAAAGGTTAATTAAACTGGGCTCTCACAGAGTATAGGCTTGCAAGAACATTCAACAAAAGGGACATCTTAGAAGTCAGAAAATGTACCCACATTATCAATGGAAAAAGCAATTGAAACTCAGCAGTAATATTCAGAAAGTGAAGCCGGCAATAATGTCCAACAATTTGCAACCAAATGAAATACAATGTTGGCCAGGTGCAGAGGCTTATGACTGTAATCCCAGCACTTTGGGAAGCCCAAGCAGAAGGCTCATTGCTTATAGCTTTCTTGAACTCCTGGGCTCAAGGGATTCTCCTGCCTCAACCTCCTGAGTAGCTGGGACTACAGGCATGAGCCATCATGCCAGGATAATTTTTTTTTTTTTT